AATTCGATGCAAGTAAAATCGAACTACTCTCGTAGTGTAGACAAGGCCTTAGTTTTATGTATAATTTTGACAAAAAAACACCAAGTGACTTTGGACACTTGTAAGAATCCTCACGCTGGATGTGGTGTAGTGAGTACTCAGTGGTCACCATTAAAAGGCCAAAAAACCCAGGAATTGCTAAACTCTGTCAGATACTATATTAGAAAACACTAACCCTTTAAACAGACACACGCTCCAAATACCACACCCTTGCATTGGCCGTCAGCAGGGGGCACTGAACCTGGGAATCTTAAAGCATGTGCCTCTACTTGCCTGAGCTAACAGACTTATGTCTATTAACCAAAGTTGTAGCAGGCTCATCAACCACTATATGCAACCAGCCACCACTAGAGGGGGACAGGGTACCACTCTGAGTGGGTGTAGGTTACATGAACAGTAGTTGTAATTTCCTCTGGAAATAAGCAGTCCGGTTGACTATAAAGTATTACAAAGAATCTTGCAGGTCTCCTACTGTTCCTTTCAGAACGGGTTTTTATACTGAGTTTAAGTTATTAAAACCAACTGGAAAGGCAACTACATACTTTCCTGCTATTGATGTAATGGAATAAAAGGCTTGTCTTAGAAATTCATTTACTATTACATTGCCCAATCTGGGAGGCCGGCGTCCCTGAAGAAATCTCTGATCTTTTCCCGGGGCGGCTCAAAAACAAGTCCCGGGGAAAATGAAAAGTGGAAAAGCTTTTCTTTTTCCCTGTAGTCGTTTTTACTTCAGCCATTCGTCCATCGCACACTGAAAATTTCTGCTGTTTGCTAGAGTCCAAAGTGGAATTAAGCCAGAGCACAAGGAGGAGGAAAACAAGAAAGTGCATTTTCCCAACAGCTTCTTTTAAAAAGATGACTATCATGGCAAGGAGAAGCCTAAATAGTTTTCTGTCTCTTAGAAGGGGAACATCAAGAAACCCTGACAGAGATTCAAGCTACATAGTGTGAATTGTACATTATTCACAAAAGCAGCTGCAAAACTGCGGTGCACTGTAACACTAATGGACGTACACTGTGATTTCACTGACTGATTGCACACAGCATATGGAGCAATCACTTCGCTCACCACCAAAGTGCAGGCACTTGCTCCATTCTGGGGTGGAGCATGGCAGGTGTTTAAAAATGCACGGTAGCTACACAACAGGGTAGAGGGGCAGATGTAAATCCACAATTTGGGATTTGGCCAGAATCAGGTTAATACTCCTACTCTTCAGTAAGTGTCACAAAGTTGTTACAAAAAAAATAGCCAGGACCTTGGTTTAGTCTCTCCTCAGAAAGAAGACACCCTCTGGCTGAGCAGCATCCCTCAGAACCAGTGCAAATGGGAACAGCACCACATACTGAATTACCAGTACTGCTCCATACCACTCCTGAGTCTTCCCCGAGTGAGCTAACTCCCAGCAGGGCTGTCCTTAGGGGTCTGGGGGGCCTGGGGCGGATGTGACAAATCCGTCACTTCCCGGACCGGACTGTCACTTCTGGGATGACTGCACTGGCCAATCGCACTGAACGCGGGGCCTGGAGCGGTCGCCCTGATTTGCCGTACCGGAGGGATGGCTCTGACTCCCAGGGACTGAGGTCAGCATTGCTTAGCTGTGAGATCACAGTTGGAGGTGCTAGGGTGTCACATGCTGTAACACACTTTTGAAGAGAACAGTTGGTATATTTTTAGATATGGATACATCAAGGCTTACTTTCAGGTATCTGTGCATTTCCTTCAGCAAGTCAACACCCAAACTAGGCCCCTCTACTGCTGAGCATTAACATGGGGACCTATCCAAAGGTCCTCACTCAGTTTATACTCTGGCAAGCTCTCAGTGGTTTGCTTGAGTGAGGCCTCCCTACAAATATGCAGGGAGTCAGGATTTAGCCAATAATCATTAGTATAAAATACACAATCTGCTCTAGAGCTGTAGGATTAAATCCCATAACCACTGAAGGGAGAGGAAAGGAAAAAAACAAACTGAGACAGGCAAAGAAGCGATGGCTGATGGAAAAAGAGCGAAATGCGAGGAGTAGCTTAGAAGAGAGTAAAATACAAACGGCATGGCAGAGTTACCGGGTAGCCATCTCGTCCTGACTGCCCCTGTGCGGAGTGAATAAGCGAGACAAGAAGAAAAAGTCAGTCACAGTTGAACTCTCAGCAGCATGACAACACATTGCAATATGTAAAACTCGGAGCCTGACCCACGCAGAGGGCTTAGTCCCTGCTGCATCCTCGGCAGCCAGTGGGAGGCGCAAGAACTCAGCAACATTTAAGGTGCAGGCTCTTACAAGAGGAACTTTTCCTACTGGAGGGGAAACTGACACACGTGTGACTCAAATACAAATCTCTTCACCTTTCATTTGTTTTTGACTTTTTGTAAACATTTGCTACTTACCAAAGGCTTTGTTCCCACACACCCATCCCCTCCTCTCATGCAATCCTACAGTGGAGTCAGGGACATATTGCCAGGCCCTGCTGCAGGCCACCAGGCAGAGTTCCCCACAGAAGTAATGAGGAACATTACTCCGCTTTAAGCAAACTGATGGTAAGATATGGATGTGCTTTGGCATGGTGCCCCCTCTGGGTTGGGGACCCTTTCTTGAGAAAAGTAATGGGGAGAAGCAGGAGGAACCCTGGCACTGCGTCTCCGTTTGTGTGTATGGCTTTGTGTTTCCCGGTCTGTGAAGACCTCAGGGGAATCTACAGGATTAGGAGCCCAATCTGTGACCTGGGGCATTTCAGCAGTATGTGGGGACAAACCCCAAACTCCGCCCTCACTTGATGGAGGGATTTGGGTGAAGCACTCCTGTGAGGATTTCCCCTCTCCACATTCCCCTTCCATTGTTTTTTCCATGGGAGGGGGAGATTTCCCAACCTCACTCAAGGTTTTGCATCTGATTAGGGTGAAGCTAAAACAGAAGTTGGGCTCTACACAGAAAATATCTTATTTAATCATCCAGATCTGCAACATCAGCAAAGGGACACAAAACACAGCTGGCCAAGGACATTTCTCATTTTCTATTCTCCTTGTTTTTCAAAGTAGTGTTTGCAGCTAGATATAGGGTTAAACATGTAGTTAGCTGCCCACTAGGATATACAAAAAAGTGTCCAAGTTATACAGATTCCAAGTACGGAGCTGTTAAATTTCAGGGTAGTATCTAGTATAGCAATGTCATGTGACACTGTATACATGGACTTTATTGGCATGGTGTTATTATACAATGGTAGCTGCATTCATACATTTCTTATTGCATCAACTTTCTATATTTTCTCCTCAAGTTTCCTCTAGTCTAAATACAGTAGCATCCACGTCTACTAAAGAGACACTGCAGTATTTAACACACACTCTACAGAAATGTAGGTTCTTCCAGGAACAAGACATTAATTACAATAACAACTCATTTAACAAATCATAGACTTCAGATAAAATATACAGTAAAATTTTTATGAAGGTTTATGAACACTGAAGCATAAAATATGTAAGTAGGAAACACTGTGTAAATCACAACCCTCATTTATTGGTAAGTTTCCATGGTCTGTACCTTAATGCATAAAGTGTTTGTTAATATCTGTTACAGTAAATGTTAAATTATAGTGTATGGTAAATCTATCCTTCAGATTGTAGAAATTTCCTACTCGGCATGTGATTTTAATATCCTCTGTAACTGAGTCTTTATAGAGTAGTTGACTAGCACACTCCTTATCCTACAGACAGAATGATCCATCATCTAACAGCCCTAAGTACTGTACCACAGATTCTAATACTTCATACATGCAACTAATTTATGACAGCTAAAAATAAAACACCAGAACAACTATTACTAGTGGCCAACATAATTGAGAATGCATTTTAGCATAATATGACGCTATATGTATAGAATGTAATCAGTTCCTTATGGCCAAAAATCAAGAAACATAAGAAAGCAATAGACTTAACTGCAATGCTGCTGACATAAAATAACATTGTGTTTCTGTGGGTTTTAGGACTTTTTTTTTTTTTTTTAAAGAAAGTCTTTGTCAAGAGTTGTAGTTTAAGCCACAGATTTAGGGCTTATTAAGAAAAGTTTTACAAAAGGTTTAAAAAAAATGTAAATGGGTGTAGGCAGAAAAGAGTCTTGTTTGTGAATAAAATGTTTGTAGTTGTGTAGCTGCAGGAGCTCCCCCTAGTCGACCTTCCTAGCTGCCTGACATGGCTGCGGGTCTCCCCAAGAGGAGGAAGTCTCTGTCTCCAGTGTCCACGGAAGTGGGCTCCAGCCCACCAGCTAATTGTTCCATCAGTCTTAACCCCTTCGGGGGCTACTGGAAGGGCTCAGCCCTGAAACATTTTGATGCAAAAAAGGAAAATCAACTCAGTACTGGACCACCCCCAAGCTTCCCGTGGGGTGTCCCTGCCCTTTCCTTAGGGTTTGGTTCCTAAGCAGTCTCTTAGTAGAGCATTGCTCTCTACTGGGGGCTAACTGCTCCTCCCCAGGGGCTGCTCCAGCTAACCTCTCCACCAGCAAAGCTCCATTTGTGCAAAGAGACAGTGTTCCATCCTTCTTCCTGGCCAGTCAGCCCTGGACTGGGCCAGGTTCTCTCCTTTTATTCCTTCAGGCATGGCAGGCAGGGCTAAACAGCACACGGTAACCAGCCAGTCAAAGTGACTGGAGACTAAAAGAAAATAGTTTCTAAATTATGTTGTTCAAGCTAAATCAGGTGAACAGACAGCACATACAGTGACATTTCAGGCCTCGATCCTGAAATTGACAGGATGCAGGCAGACTGCAGACACCTTGTGCTATCAATTACAGGAGTGGAGCCTAAATTGTTAACATAATCGCTTTTAATAATTTAAGGTTCGGTAAGCAACAAATGCAAAGAAATGTGTCTTTTAAAATATATAGGGAGTTGGAAGCAGATCATCTTTTTAATGTTTACCTACAAATAAACTAAAAATAATAACAATAATAAAAAAATATTTTTCTGAATTCCAATCAAATTCAAATCATTTCATACATTGCAGAACACAAATTTAATCCAGAGGTAGGGTGACCATACGTCCCATTTTGGCCAGGACAGTCCCTTTTTTAAGCCCTGTCCTGGCCGTCCCAACTTTTTTGGCAAAAGTGGACATTTGTCCCATTTGCTCTTGCCAACTTGATCACTTGACAAACGCACATGGGACAAATGCCCAGTTTTGTAAAAAAAGTGGGGCGCAGAGGAACGTGCGGGGAGGCGAGCAGCGATGCCAGCCCTGCACGGGGGGGAGGCGGGGCTCGCACAGGAGGCAGGCATGGCTCGGACGAACAGCGACCCCAGTCCCATGAGGGGGGCAGGCAGGGCTTGGGTGAGCAGTGACGCCAGCCCAGGCCTTGTGTGGGGGGGCAGGCAGGACTCAGGCGAGCAGGGATGCCAGCCCTGTGTGGGCAGGGGGGAGGACTTGGGCTAGCCCCAAGCAGTGTCCCGTTTTCCCTTTGGGAAAAATGGCCACCCTATCCATAGGGTACTGTAGTCATTCTGGGGAAACTGCCCAAAATATACCATGAAAGCTCTCGGGGGTTAAATTCTGCTGGTGTAAATCCAGAGTAGAATGTCTCAAAGATGAGCCTTATGGCTTAGCGCTAGTAGGTCAGGGTCTATAATGATTTTGCTGAAGAAGCAAAAACATGCTCTGGATTTTGTGCATAACCGGGAAGTTCAGGAGCCAATACCCAGCTCACCTCAGTGCCAAGTAATCTGGAATCACTTGCCTCTAAATTGTCTTTCCCCCAATAAATGTTCCCTCGCTAATATTACAGAGACCCATATACTCATTGTAGTATGTGGATGAACAGACTATGCTGAACTTTTTAATTAGAAAATATTTACAGGAAAATGATTTCACTGACAGACTAAACTCCTAAATACCAGCAAGCTGGGACAAATTCATTTGCCGGGGCTTCTGCAGACAGATACCCACACTGACTGATTGCTAATACCGTGCACAACTTTTATAACAGAATGTGTGCCTGGGTAGAGTTTCAGACAAGCCCCATTTCCCTCCCCTCAGGGGGGTTATCGGTCAAAATCATCGTTAACTGCACATTCTTCTATGGTTCCCACTAAAATCCAAGCCAACGTAGCAGTTTTGCCCACATTTCTCCAAGTTTTCAGATTAAAAAATGAACCTGAAATAAAAATGAAACCTCAAGGGACATAAACGCACATTAACTGAAAGTATAAACACAAAATATTGTTCAAACCCACACGAACTAACACTGCTGAGTTTTACAACCCTAACATTTTACTTGTGTTTCATCATCGGTTCAAGGTTTTAAATGAAATATATAGAACTGGAGATTAACTAGATCAAAAAATGGTTTATCAATGAATTGCAAAGATTACAGGAATAACTCCCTCCCAGTCTCATGGGGCCTTGGCAGGAAGGGAATGGTATTTGAAGAAACAGACACTGACATTACATTGCTTATCAAGAAAAGCACGGCAGGTTTGAAATATAGAGTAGGACTTTCAAAAGCTGTTGAAGGTTTTAGATGCCTTTCATTGACTTTCAGAAATCAATGGAGGGTGGCAGGTGCCTAATTCCCTTAGGTCCATTTGAAAATCCCACCCATGACAGAATTTAACTGATGCCAGTAAGGCTAACTTCTCACCGTAAGAGCACTGGGAGAGTAACAGATTTGGGGATTTCATTGGAGGGGATAAAGACGGATGTGTCTGAAAGTTTTCTTAGGAGGAGGGATTAGCACATATTCAACTGCCATCCCTTCAAACAATGCATTCACCATAAAGGTTCCGGCCATGCAGCGAGAGATGTTTATTACTCACCAAACAGCCCCGAAGAGAGAAGAAAGCTATACATTTTTTTTGGCTGAATCACAGTGGTGTGGGGCTATCAACATCACTAACGACATGCAGTATCAACCAACTGAGACACAATAAATGGGAGAAGCGAGATGGACAGTTTTCAAATTTAAAACATCAAAACATTAAAATATTAATACAGTGTGCACATATTTGAGCATGGAGACTGACCAAAGAATTCTTTAAAAAAAAAAAGAGAACTATGTTTTTTACAGAATATTTGCTGGGTTTTAAATTGCCACAGGCTCCTTAGGGCAGCGAGTTAAGCATTTTTAAAGCTTTTTTTTTTAAACTACTTGTCTACAATCAAGAGGGGGAGGGAGGGGGAAAAAAAGCAGCATCTGGTACCAATTTTCCTTCCATACACACCTCTACCAAAAAAGGCTGTTCTTGTGAAATGATACAGAAAGGGGAAAAAAAATTGCCTTAACTTTGTTGACCCAAGAGTAAAATCCACGGTACTTACTGCAGGTCCTGAAAAACAAAAGCAAAACCCCAAACACTTATTAACCACAAGAAAGCAAAGTATCATTCAATACAACACAGTATGTGGCAGGGAGGGTCAGGATGTCAGAGCAATATTTCTACTTTGCATCAAGTTTGGTGGCATTCCACATGTAGATAAAACACAGCATCTACGACCCGGTTCTGGAGTGAGTGTTACGCAGCTGTACATGAAGATTCAATTTTATCCTAATGTGGGAGTGCTCGTCTCTAGCATGTGGGCCTTGGATAAGGCACGGAGCTGGCAACAGCAAGTGGCAATGCTGTAGAGCTAAAAGTCTGTGGAACGTTCAGCTGCCATTGTGGAGTTCTCTGCTCTCATCTCTGGTGTCTGTAGTAGGAAGCCAGGTCTACACTACAGCCTTCCGCTGGCATAGCTATGTCAACTCACGGGGGTGAAGCGCTGTGTGGACCCCTGTCCGACACAGCTGTGCCGGCAAAAGCCCCTAGCGTAGATGCCGTTATGCTGGCACAGCTGCGCTTCTGATGGTATCGCTTATTTCAGTTGGGGGTAGGACTGCGCTGGTTTTGCTGGGATAAGCTGCGTCCCCACTAGGAGTGCGTTGTCGCTATAGTACATCAGTATACCTATTCCAGCCAAGCGCTCCTAACGTAGACCTGGCCGATGGAAGGGAGCTACTGATGCATAGCAACTTACGAGGCACAAATTCCACCACCTCTGACCATTTGTGCAGCATATTTCACCTACTGATCTCCATGCTTCACTGAACATTCTCCTGGCTCCCCCTCCTGCCCCTAACCACTGGGTCATGCTGCTGCTGCTAACTTATGTTGCCATGAGAGGGGAACATGCCGTGAGCCAAGTACAGGGCAAGGTAACTGAAAACAAAAGAAAAAGACTCCTCTAGACTTCAATGGGCTTTAGATCAGACCCACAGAACTCAGGTCTCAAATGGTGATGGTGGCAGCGGGGAACACGGCATCTCCTGCTGCATAACCATCTCCACCATGCAGCTGCCTACTCCAGACCAATTTCTGCAGCATTCCCACACTCCCCTCCCCTCAGCACTGTGCAGCAGAGGTGAACATTTGGGCTGTGGACCAATGGCATCCATGTTCCACTCTTGTTTGAGAGGGTTTTTACACTGTGTGTTTTTGGGCCTCTTCATGCTCCATTTCCTACATGATCAAAACCAGAAATGGATTCAATGCAAAAAAAATGTGGGAGAAATTAAAATAGAAAAAAAAAAAGAAGCTTACTGGAAACTCAATTGTAAATGAAAAGCATATTTCTGTTTCTTTTTATGAGTCTTTTCAAGCTCTCAATTTTTTTTTAAAACTTACTTTAAAACATCTAAGTGTTTAAAAATGAAACAATAAAAAACAAGTAATTGTGCAGAATTAGGATCCAAACCAACTATTTATTACGGCACGGAGTACATACTGCCAGGAACTGGCCTGTTAGCATCAATAGGCCAGCTCAATGTATCCAGCAGAAGACCTGGTAGCATCTGGGTCTGAACATGGGGAGTTCATTGTGAGTTGTGAATGCTGTAGGTTATATATTAGAAGGGCATACATCCAAAGTTTCATTTGTTACGGGGGCAACTTGGCCTGTCTCCGGATCACGACCATTGTCTTTACCTTAGGGTATGTACATGGCTGTTATTGTACGTTCACAGGTTTAAATTCTTATGACCAGATCCTAAGCTGTTATACATTCGTAGCTACATTGAACTTACTGGACCTAAGCCAATTTACCAGCAGAGAATCTGGCTCTTAACGTAAACCTGATTTATTAACTAATTTCTACCAATTTTCCCATGCAAGGCCCCTTTTCATCTTAATGAACAACAACTTAAGTGACGTGGTCAAGGCATTTTAATATGGGATTGCAATGACATACCTAATTTCCTTAGACTTTGTTGTCTTTTTGCCTTAATTCAGATACCGTGTCCCTCAAATATATGCAAACAACTATGACATCCGATGTGCCACATGCTCTTATAAAATGCCTCAACCTTGGTCACGAGGCTCAATCGAATTGAATGGATCGCTGTAGATCATCTTTTGCAACATGCAGCTCAGGGCAGTAGAACTTTGATGTCCTGATTGATATCAGAATTATGTTAAACTTTTACTGATAAAGAACAGAATTTGGCTAGGAATTTTCATTAATACTAAAAGTTATAGGAGTCCCTCAAGCGATCTATGAATAAATCAAATTTGATTTAAAAAAAAAATATTGTCCAAGAACTACATCATTTCTGACTTGCTCAATGTTTTTCACAGACCCGGTCATGAGACACTTGTCTGCTACAGATGAAAGTCATTTTTTTTTTTAACAAGGCAATAAGCAAAGAAGTTAGTGATGTGCCAAGGGGCTCTCTATCCTTCCCTTAGATGTGGGCACACTGCATGAGGCATTCTCCCTTTTGAGAAATTTGTCAAAATTATGAATAATAAAGTTGACCAGTGAAAATTATTTTCAATGTTCTACAGAC